TACATATATATATATATATATAATATATGTATATGCATAAATATATATATATATATATATATATTTTATATAATTACCAGCGAAAGTTAGGTTGACGGTTTCGACTATTTAATCTCCTTCGTAGAATTATTAAGCAAGCCATGCATGCATGCATTAAGTGTATACATCAGTGCATGCATGCATGCATGCATGCATGCAAATGCATGCATTCAGAGCATTGAGGAGGGTGGTAGGGCTTTCTTTATCTTCTGCTGTCTCCGCCAAGTGCGCTCTGTGTATACTAAACCCTAAACCCTAAACCCTAAAAAGAATAAACCCTAAACCCTAATAAACCCTAAAACCCTAGTTAGCTAGCTAGCAGCAAGGTGAGAAGTTTGTTGCGTGGGTCTTGTGTAGATAGAAGCTGAGGCTTTGAATGATTAGGGCTTAGGGTTTAGGGTTTGATGTTGCTGCTGCAGCAACGGCGTGCATGCAAGTAAGGCAGCAGAAGCAAATGTATAAATATATCCTCTTGTCTTCTATTCTTAGCAATAACAAAGACAAGAGACACATACCCTATTCAATATCTATATCGAATGCATACATAAAATGCATGCATGCATGCAACGCATGCACACATAAAATGCATGCATGCATGCAACACATGCATGCATGCATGCATGCATGCATGCGTTGCATGCATGCATGGGTGCATCTAAGAGCCCCAAGGTACTATACATATTTTAAATATCTTTTATTGATTTTTTGTTGCTTTATATTTCTCGTGGAGTTTTGTGTGTTTTTCCAGCATCTGCATGCGAAAACAAACAAAAACAAAAAATAAAATTAATAAAAAAGCAACAAATCAATACCAGCCCCAAAAACCTAACAAACAAGCGCATGCATGCATACATACATCAATGTATGCATGCATGCATGCATACATTGATACACCTCATGCAAGCATACAGACATACACCGCGTGCATACAGCGCATGCATGCATGCATACAAATATACACCGCATGCATGCATGCATACATATATACATCACAAGCATGCATGCATACATCCACCGCAAGCACACACCGCATGCATGCATACACCGCATACATGCATACACCGTATGCATGGACACACCGCATGCATGCATACACCGCATGCATGGACACACCGCACACATGCATACACCGCATGCATGGACACACCGCATGCATGCATACACCGCATGCATGCATGCATGCATGCATTGATTGGATGTGCGTACTTTGAGGAGGTTTTTGCGTTGGGATTTGGATATCTCAGTTCCGTCTTTGTTTGTCAGAGGAACTCCTTCTTCATCAAAAGCCCCATAGCTGTCTGCATGCAGCTTGCGAAAGAAGTCTTTCGGGGGTATTGCTGCTTCTTCTCGTCGGCGTGCATCAAGCTCTGCCTTTGTATTATTTTAATGCAAACAAACAAACAAACAAACAAACAAACAAACGCATGCACGCATGCAAACGCTATGTACACCACTGTATTTATATAACACCACCTGCACGCATGCAATGATGCATGCATGCATTATATATATATATATTTTATATTTATATTTATATTTATGTGTGTATATGCATGCAATGCATGCATGCATGCACGCATTGCATGCATGTTACTGTTGCTGTTGCTGATGCATACACTTGCATGCAAGCATTTGTTGTCTGTACATACGGTGTATATTGGGGCTGGCGCATGCATGCATGCATGCATGCATGCATGCAGGGCTAGAGTGCATGCAGCAAGGCCTTACTTGTTTTTGTTTTTCTTCTTGCTTCTGCATCTCCTTCTTGCGTTCTTCTTCTTTCTTTATCTGCAACTCCTTCACTATATCCTCCCTGCAAACAGCCCCAAATAAACAGCCCCAAATACACCTCTTATGCAGACAACAGCACATGCATGCATGCATAAATGCATGCATGCATGCATTTGTTGGTGCATGCACAAAAGCCCCAATGTGTCGCGCATGCGCTGTGGATGCATAACAAGACAAACAAAAATGAAGGTGCAGCGCATGCATGCATGCATGCATGCATAGATACACACACGCATGCAGATGATACACACTAATACATGCAGCTGCATGCATGCAGAAATACAAACAAGAACATGCGTGCACTTATGCATGCACACACTTGCATGCATGCACACACATGCATGCATGCATGCACACACATGCATGCATGCAAGGCATGCATAAAATATAACTTATTACTTGGCTGCAATCCTGAAGGTAAAAGCCCCGTCTGCTCTATCTTGAAGAAGAACACCTGCTTCTGGAAGTTTATCATCGCGTAGTTCGTCGCAAAGCCCCAAAAGCTCTTTAAATGCCTCCTGCTGCTGCTGCTGCTGTTGCTGCTGCTGCTGCTGCTGCTGCTGCTGAGCAGCACCAGCGTCGTCTTGTCGTTTGCTGCTGCCGCTCAAACGCAACTGAGCTGTGCACACACGCCGCACCTGCAGCAGCAGCAGCAGCAACAGCAGCAGCAGCAGCAGAAGCAGCAGCATCAGCAGATGAGCGAACATAAACGATAAACCCAAACAAAGTAGAGACAAAGACAGCCACAGAAGACAGCAAAAGAAAAACAAAGAAATTTATTTTTGTATTATCTGCATTAAAGCCCCAAATGCAAACATCAACACTACCCGATGCATTCATAATACTATAATAATACCCTTGCATGCAGCAGCACAAACAGCAGCAGCAGCAGAGGCGCATGCAAAAGCACCCCAAGACAGCAGCAGCACAAGCAGCAGCACCACATACAGCAGCAGCACATGCAGAAGTAGTATATGAAGCAGCACCCCAAAGCAGCAGCGCATACAGCAGCATCACAAGCAGCAGCAGCGCCAGCAGCACCAGCACAAGCAGCAGCAGCAGCAGCAGCAGCAGCATCACAAAGCAGCAGCAGCAGGAGCAGCATCAGCGCATGCAGCCCCAAAGTGATGAATTACTTGTTCTCTAAACTCCCCCAGACACTGCACAATAGGTTCTGCTGCTGCTGCTGCACTTGTCTCCTCGTTATCGTAATGAAGACCGCTGGCAGAGACAATTCCAAACACCTACACTCAAAAGGAGACAGCACTCAGGTGTATGTACACCCCATGTCTTCATCTATCTCTATATACACCCCACACTATATATATATATATATATATGTAGATATATATATATATATATATGTGTGTGTAGATATATAGATATATATATATATATATAGATAATTATATATGTATATATATATACCCCACACCTTTATCTATATATACGTAGAGACAAATGTACAGATAGAAAGAGACAGAGACAGAAATAAACAAACGAGGAGACAAATACTATAAAAGGAGACAAATAAAAGGAGACAAAAAGCATGAAAGGAGACAGATAATATCAGGAAGGAGACAAATAATATAAAAGGAGACAAATAATATAAAAGGAGACAAATAATATAAGAAAGGAGACAGATAATATAAGAAAGGAGACAGATAATTTAAAAGGAGACAAATAAAAGGAGACAAAAAGTATAAAAGGAGACAGATGGTATAAGAAAGGAGACAGATGGTATAAGAAAGGAGACAGATGATATAAAAGGAGACAAATAATATAAGAAAGGAGACAGATGATATAAGAAAGGAGACAGATAATAAAAAAGGAGACATACCCTAAGAATATACATAACATAGTCAGCTACTTCTTTTAATAGCGGGGCTTTTATCTGCGTATTTTGATTTAAATAAGTATTTGTATATGACGCCAAATGCTGCAGAGACACCAGAGCCTCTGGGGTGTCAAAGTTGTCCAAAAATGCAGCCCGAATCTGAAACACACAAACCCTAAACCCTAAACCCTAAACCCTAAACCCTAAACCCTAAACCCTAAACCCTAAACCCTCAAACCCTAAACCCTAAACCCTAAACCCTAAACCCTAAACCCTAAACCCTAAACCCTAAACCCTACATACACTAAGCCCTCTATACCGCAAACCCTCTGTACCCTAAACCCTCTAAGCCCTAAACCCTCTAAACCCTAAACCCTCTAAACCCTCTAAACCCTCTAAACCCTCTAAACCCTCCAAACCCTCTAAACCCTCCAAACCCTAAACCCTCTAAACAGCATAAAGGGTTTACTTTTTCTTTGGTGTCTGAAAGGGTTTGATGCAGCTGTGCATCTGTCTTTGTCCACTTCTGCGGGAAGTCGCTAATTGGAGTATTTAATTTTAACTTCGATCGGCAAAGAGCGAAGAAATTGGCAAAAAAAGAATCGACTTCTGCTGCTTGCTGCAGTGTCTCTCCATCCGGGCTGTAGTTCATCGGGGCATCCCATCTATAAACAAACACATTTATTTATTTAATTTATTTATTTATTTATTTTATTTATTTATTTATTTATTTAATTTATTTACTTATTTACTATCCAACTGGGTAACGGATGTAGCTAGAAAGGTTTCTAGCAAGCTAAGGTAGCAAGCTAGCTAGCTAGCTAGCTAGCCAGATAAATAGCTAGCTAGCTAGCTAGCTAGGTTAAGTGTAATGGGAATGTAGCCGACCTGTTCATAAGGCAGAGGAAACGAATATGTCTGGGTTTAAACTGCCGCAAGCATTCTTTGATAGTTATAAAATTTTTCAGAGACTTCGACATCTTCGCGCCGTAGATATGCAGATGCCCCGAGTGCAGGAAGTAGTTCACCCTTTGTTCAAATCGCAAACACGCAGCAGCAGCAAGCATGCAGCAGCAGCAAGCATGCAGCAGCAACAAGCATGCAGCAGCAACAAGCATGCAGCAGCAACAAACATGCAGCAGCAACAAATATGCAGCAGCAGCAGCAGCAGCACAACATGCAGCAGCAGCAAAATATACAGCAGCAGCAAAATATGCAGCAGCAACAAACTATGCAGCATCAGCAAACATGCAGCAGCAGCAACATATGCAGAAGCAGCTAGGTATCTAGATAGCTAGCTAGCTGGCTCCCTAGCTAGCTATCTAGCTATCCAGCTGTTTAGCTAGCTAGCTATCCAGCTACGTAGCTAGCTATCCAGCCACTTGTATAGCTATCCAGTTACTTCGCTAGCAAGCTAGCTAGCCACCCCATCCAGCTAGCCACCTAGCTAGCTAGCTAGCTAGCTATATGCGTACCACTGAGTTTTATCTTTAGCTGCTTCAGTTTGAGCTAGCTCGTTGTCATGATGCGGAAAGCGAAGGTCTACGCCTCCGCTGTGAATGTCCAGCGGGAAGCCCAGCAAAGACGAAGCCATCGCAGAGCACTCTATATGCCAGCCTATTAAATCAGCAAATAAACATACTTATTTATTTACTAATTTACTCATCTACTCATTTATTATTATCGTTAGGGCTTAGGATTGAGGGCTTAGGGCTTAACATTGAGGGTCTACGGTCTAGGACTGAGGGTTTAGGGTTTAGAATTGAGAATTGAAGGTCTAGGGTTTAGGATTGAGGGTTTAGGGTTTAGAATTCAGGGTCTGAGATTAAGGGTTTAGGGTTTAGGGTTTAGGATTGGGGGTTTAGGGTTTAGAATTGAGGGTCTGGGATTAAGGGTTTAGGGTTTAGGATTGGGGGTTTAGGGTTTAGAATTGAGGGTCTGGGATTAAGGGTTTAGGGTTTAGGGTTTAGGGTTTAGGGTTTAGGGTTTAGGGTTTAGGGTTTACCTGGGCGTCCGGGTCCCCACTTGGAGTCCCAGGAGGGTTCATCCGGCTTTGCTTTCTTCCAAAGAGCGAAGTCGCAGGGGTGCTTCTTTTCGCTAGAGACGACGCCTAAGCTGCCTTCCCCCTCAAGCACCCTGCACGTACACCCCAAACCCTAAACCCTAAACCCTAAACCCTAAACCCTAAACCCTAAACCC